AGACCGTACTTCGACATCGATAATTCATTTCCGCATTGCGTTACCGGAAAGTTTGCGTCAGTACAACACAGCATTCTGATTGGCAAATAATCGACTTGACCCATTAGGTCAAAGGATGCTGCTTCAGGTCAAATGCAAATGCATCATGGCGGAAAATGATTTTCATCGAGAGTTTGCGTACGATCCAACACCTTCATCAGTGGAGATAATATGACAATTTTGACTTTGACTGTGTTCCAACAGACTCAAATGTTTTTAATTTCGTAAATTCTGGTGGTACGGAATTAATATTGTAATAAAATGTGCATATTTTTTGTGATCATTTCTGTTTCTTCATTGTGAAAATCAATGACGACTCAACTAATTTCGTAATTTGATTTTCCCTCAAAGACGTAATCTGTCACTTGATGAATCAAATTTTTCATTTGCACTCTTTTTCGAGGGGGGTGCTCGGGTAAGCGCCCACCCCTAAAAAATCATGATTTTCTGAGTTGAGGCCCCTGGACGCTAACGCGGTCGAGTACGGTATCTTAATTTCTTTGTCACATGTTTTTCAACCCACAGGACCATATAAATTTCACTATTGGAAGACAGTCTTTCAACTTGAAGCAACTAGATAATGCCACAGCAGCATTCAAGCACTTGTTAACCAATGATAGTAGACAAACTCCACCACAACAAGCAGCTTTCCTCAGAGAATACCTATTTGTATTCAAAGTAAGCAATATCGACAGAAATTTCTACTTTGATTACTGGGATTTCGTGTTTAATGAGAGTTTCTCAGAGCAGACCACCTTTGTTAATCATATATTTATTGTCTGTTTGAATTCATACATCAATAAAAACATAACCGAGGTGTTAATCACATATTTATTGTCGGTTTGAATTCATACATCAATAAAAACATAACCAAGGTGTTAATCACATATTTATCGTCGGTTTGAATTCATACATCAATAAAAACATAACCGAGGTGTTAATCACATATTTATCGTCGGTTTGAATTCATACATCAATAAAAACATAACCGAGGTGTTAATCACATATTTATCGTCGGTTTGAATTCATACATCAATAAAACCTAACGGAAGTGTTAATCACATATTTCTCATTGGTTTGAATTCATACATCAATAAAAACATAACCGAGGTGTTAATCACATATTTCTCATTGGTTTGAATTCATACATCAATAAAAACCTAATTGAGGTGATAATCACATATTTATCGTCGGTTTGAATTCATACATCAATAAAAACCTAACTGAGGTGTTAATCACATATTTATCGTCGGTTTGAATTCATACATCAATAAAAACCTAACTGAGGTGTTAATCACATATTTATCGTCGGTTTGAATTCATACATCAATAAAAACCTAACTGAGGTGTTAATCACATATTTATCGTTGGTTTGAATTCATACATCAATAAAAACCTAACTGAGGTGTTAATCACATATTTATCGTTGGTTTGAATTCATACATCAATAAAAACCTAACCAAGGTGTTAATCACATATTTATCGTCAGTTTGAATTCATACATCAATAAAAACATAACTGAGGTGTTATTAATATGATTTGCAGCAGCAGTTAACTCAAGCAACCAGTGATGGGTCACCGTTAGCAGGCATACTACCTCAGTTACCGCTACCGCTTATAGATAAACCAGCCATTAAAGTATTATTAGGGAGTACTGTCAAAGTGAAACTGCCAGGTAACGTAATATAATTATATATTCCTATATTAAAATGCATATGTATCAAGCTAGTTTTATTACAGTGCCAATAGCTGTGATTTTAAACATTTCTTTGTTTAAATATAAAAGTTGACCAAATCTTTCCAAAATATTCTTTTAGACACAATTGAATGGACAAAGTCACCTATACACATGGCTAATGTCACATGAAATGCCATGTGGAAACTAAAGGTTGAGTCGCCGCTATTTTATTGAAATGGGTCTTGTGATGGGACCTGTAGAATATTATGAAGCATGACACGCTCTATTATTGGAATAAGTACATAAAATTACATGTATAGAAATACAACATTGGTCTACATTTCCGCAATGGCTGTTACAAATTTGCACTAATGGCACGAGAGGAAAAGGATTGATAGTTACAACTATTGGCACTTTAACTATTTTGATAGGATGTCTACAATGTATATGAGTGAATTCACTTTACACAGAGTATCTAGTATTGTAAATATTTTTTATTTTTTATGCGTTTTTGGAACTTTTTGAAGTCATGTTAAAGCATAATTTTATAAAAAATTAATTGTAATCATCGGAATGTTCTAATAATTAAGAGGAGTATCCATTTAATTTTTTGATCATTATATAAATACCAAACAAAATTTTTGATATTTGGTGATGCCACATAAAGCACTATTTTCATGGATGTTTGACCTGTGTTTTGTGCAAAAAGTACATGTAGTTGGTATTTTTATCTGGGTTTTGTAACCACCAGAATAAAATAAAACCATGTTGTAAATGTCAAGGAAATGCAATCATTTGTTTTAATAGCAGTCCACTATCTTAATACATTATATAACTTTAAAGTGATACAGGATGTCGCTGTGCTAGACGTACAATATCTGTTTTTATATTACAGAAGGCAAGACTACAGCTAATTGTCTTAGTTTTGATCAAGTATACAATGCAGACTGTGTTGATAGGTGGAAGGACTTGGAAGAGTTGGCAGTCAGCGTGTCCAGTCGGCAGAACTCTTTGCCGTCAGCTTTCAAACCCACAGTGCAATTATTTTCTGAACACACTTATAATGATACAAATCCTATAGCAGTTGTAGGAGGTGAGGTTTCAAATTCTAGTATACTGATTGTTTTTAATTTCGCACTTGTATGTATTAACACTTCAACCGCTGAAAGCAATCTAGGTACAGTCATGGATTGCCGTATTCTGTTATATAAAAAAGCTCCAGCAGATGATATGTTAAAGGGGAACCGCTCAATCCCATTGAGATTGACAGGCATTTTGCATACATTAGCTGCCATTTTCGACTGGAAACAACAACTTTTATACATCAAAAAGCCAACCAGACAAATGTAATCGCTAGCGTACATATTCATGCCACCGTAGAAATGTATTTGGAATCACAGCTTGATCTCTAAACATCGTAAATGGCACATTTCCTGGAGCTCCCACCACGATGTGAGCGGCTTGGTACTAATTGCGGTGACCATCTTGTTTCACTGTAAGCATTTCATTGCTATTATGTATAAGATAGAATGCCATAAAGTTATAGAAATTTCCTTTTCAAAATTACAGAAATGTGTGACAGTGTCAACATTGATACCAACATATACTGTAAAATGACTAATTTTCACTGGGTTTAAATTTCGCTGATTTACCCATTTCAGGCATATTCAGAGGGTTTTAAATTCACGGTTTTATCATTTAGATAAGTCCAATTTTACATATTCACTGGGTTTTAATTTAGCACATTTTCCAGTCAGCGAAATAAGCAAAATTAAAACCCAGTGAATAATTAACCCCTTTACAGTATCCCACATATTCTTGAATGTGGAACATCAGGGTTTTGTATAACAAACAAGTCAACAATTAAATGGTAGTGATGTTGTTCTCACTTTAAATAAATCTTGTTTATTTCTGAACACTGCATTTTTGAACAATGTAAACAATGTCTGTGATTATAAACTATAATTTAAATGTACAAATTAAGTGCAGAATAAAGTACTGATAACTTTCTTTCACAGTTTCATTTTAGTTGAAAGGGTGCAATGTTGGTCCATGGATGAAAATTTTCTGAATAATAAATAATAAGTTTTCAGCAGGACTCGAAACTAAGTCGCTGAACTGAGGTCCGTTTTTTGTTCATTTCAGAACCTGTATCAGTGGAGATTGTGTTTGTGAATCCGTTGAAGATCCCGTTAGTGCTGACTGATTTGTCGTTGATTTGGAAATTCTCACCCATGAGATACCTTATAGGAAATGATGAGAACCCTGAACAACAATCTAATGTTATATCCAATGAAAGTGGTAATGGTGCTAAAGTAAGTTGTATCAATTTTGTTTTATCCCATAGTTTCGAGTTTTCTGACATTTTCTTTTAAATCAGAATCAAATGGAGAGATTACGATATTGATTTTGAGTAATGATTTAAGCATTTTGACCCTTTTTCTGGTAACAAGCAGATTTTGACTGGGACTATTTTGTGTGGAAGGTGACGAATGATGAAGAGAGCAAAATGTCCATTTCAAATATTTTAGTTTAGGTTTTGCAGCATGTTTACCGGTATGTCCATTTGTTCCTCTGTTCTCACATAGCATAAAACATTGACAAGCCTCTAGTCAGTCTGAATGCTGCTCTGTGTCAGCACAACTTACACTTTTACTATATATGATAGAGGGCGCTGTGTTACCTGCTGTAGAAATGACAGGTATTCAAATCCTGATTGTCAAGCAATCATTCTTAATAGTGTAAATTGTCTTCGCTGTTATTTGAAACGTTTATAGCTTCCACATTAACCTTACCTTGAAACTGTTGCACTTGACATGACACCAGTAAAGGCATACATCTGTGTTATGCAATGACTTCTTAAACTAGACAACTCACTGGAGCTGCAATCACTTGTTTATGGTTTGGTAAAAGTGAAATTTTGTTATGCAATGACTTCTTAAACTAGACAACTCACTGGAGCTGCAATCACTTGTTTATGGTTTGGTAAAAGTGAAATGTATGGTAAGAGGTAAAATTATTGTTGTGCTGAATATCTGACCACAGCTATGATGTTGATGTTGTTTTTTTCTTTCAGATGTCATTAGCTGACACTGTCATTGACACTCAAGTCATCCAAGAATTTGTACTCGCTGCTTCAGAGAAAAAATCTGTAAGTATGACTACCTGATTCTGAACCACAAATGTCCTTTTGTTAAATGCTAAATTTTGGTGATTTTTTGGTTGTGTGAAAACACATGCTCTTCTAATAGACAGAAAAGGGTGAGATGTTCGTCTATTGTGCTTTAATAATGTGTTCTTGGTGCTGTTATATCGGTAAATAGATGTAACATTGATAGTTTTAAAAGTATCATGAAGTTATTACAAGGATATCACAAAGTATGCATGAAGACATTACGACAGGAGTATTGGCCGATGCATAGCAGAGGTTGACGCATACTGTCTGAGTCCGTATTTTGTGGTATCTTTGTAATAACTTCAATATTATACATCTTTCTAATTCAACCACTTAGTGTAGGATGCCCAGAACTGAAAAAATGACAATTATCGTCGGAGTTTTCTTGCAGTGAACATTTTAAAAACATTCACCATCCGATATTAGAAATATCACATATCGTTCCATATTTGGAATTAGAATTTCCTAATATGGTAGAAGGCAGATACCCTGTGCAATACCGCAAAATGATGGCATGTTGTGTAGTTAGAATGCTCGTATTACTAAATTTCAGTTATTAGTGAATGTGCCCAAAGTGTGAAAAATAACTGAAAAAAAATGTTATACTTTTTTGTTTACTGTAGATTGTACTCACAGTGACTCCTCAACAAACTGGTGAACTGCATATCATGGGTGTAGGTTACAGCCTGGGTACCACTTCCCCTCCAAACACGCAGTCGGCAAATGCAGAAAACAAGGAAAACGTCCCCAATAGTCCAATGGTGCCAAAAAATCCATTGAAAAAACCTAGCTACGTGAGCGGCATTACAGTAAGAGGAAGGCAAGACTTAGATGTGCAAGGGCCGAGGCTGAACACCAGTAAGAACGAGAGATCGAGTATTGTTTACGGGCCAGATAGACGATTGGACCCAATTATCGCACCCCCAATGCCATTGTTAAATGTAAGTACTTTAGTATAGCGGAGCTGCTAGAAAACTCTGTAGTTAATAATACCATATTTGTCTATATATTGGCAAGTTTGTCCCCCAAAACAAAACAACTTGTCTTTAACCGTTTCCCGGGCATACTTATGCCTATTTCATTCGAACTTGGTAAGAACATCACACATAATTGATTAATGATCATTCTTTTGTGTGATTCAATCCAAAATAAGCTAGTGACCATGTTTTTTCCCTTTCTTGTTCTTTTAATTTTTTTTCAGAAGTGCCAAATTTGTTCAAAGTATGTCTAGATACAATGACAATACATAGTGGCAATAAATATTTTTTTATTATGTTCATTTTATCCCAAAAAACATCACCACATGTATGTTATCAACCGCCGGTCATGTTGGTTTTATTTTTATATAAAATGTCATGTTTCTTTCTCCTGGTCTCTTTTTGGGTAATTGGCAAGTGTGAGTGCTGACATGTGGTGCATTTTGCCACAGAAAGCGTATTCTTTGTTCCATGTTTGGCATTCTGACAATTTAAGAACTATCCTGGCGTCACCCAGGCCTGGTGTAACACAAGCACCGGTAGACTTATAGTCATATTAGCGAATGAATTTGGGCCTTACCATTATGTCTGTGGCACACTCACTCATGGTAGGGTCAACCTTGTTTAATTTGAACTTGGGTTTACCTATAGCAAGTATGATGCAACAATCTCTATGTCTCTTCAACTATTTCTCGAACATGTTTTGCTTACAGTGGTAATTTTTTCTTCTGAAATTGTAACCATCAAGTTATTTGAGACCATTTATTTCCTGTTTAAAGATGGGAACTGTGACATTTATGGCTTGTTTACAAAATCCTCACTGTGCCTTTACTTGCAGGTAATTTTCAGCAAGTTTCCAACGTCCATGCTTTGTGGGGAGGTTCAGCAAACCAATGTTGAGTTCATCAACCGGGGAAAGTGTGCTTTACATAAACTTTTTGTGTCTTCAAAAAATCCTGAATTTTTTACATTTGGACTGATGAAAACTGCCAAGCAGGAGAATCAACAGATTTACAGAACTTTAAGGAAAGACGAATCAAATAATGAACATGTATGTAAGGCGTTAGAACTGTCTTTTGTCACACAAGTCCCTCTCCCGGATGGACAGCTATTGCCAGATTCCAGTGTGACATTACCAATGTGGGTTAGGGGAGCAGAGACGGCTGGTACACACCAAGTGGAGATGCTCTTCTACTATGAGTCTGTGGAAGAAAATGCCAAAATGAGGTGAGAATCTAGATCTTGCGTGATGTGTTCCACAGAGTTTTAGCTTCTCTGGCTGCTTAGCTTCTATGTGTATGAAGTGGGAGGGGAGGGAGGTCTTATCAACGTAAAGTCACTTTCATCAGCACAAATACGCATTATTAAGCAGCATTTCTGCAACACACCTTACCTTTGAAAGTTTACGCAATTTTCATAAAATATGAAACATTTATACACACAGAATGAAGTTGGGGAAAAAAATATATATAGCATCTTGATAATTTGTGTGTCTTTTTGTATGATATTTTTAAGCATATACAAGCATACAACTTTGAGAAACTGAGACAAATCACATCCTGAACAATCGGTTGTAAAATTTCAGTAATGTAGTAACCAGCTAGCATGACCAGGGACTCAAAACTTGTGTATTGGCAGACATACCTCTGATGACTTTATTCTAGTTCAATTTTGCATTTGTAAAATTTTCATTTCACTGTGACAGTTTAGCAGCTATTGTTTTCTGATGTCAAATGTGTTCTGCCTTGTCATGTTTTGGTGTTGCGTTATTCCATCTTTCATGCCTATTAAATTATTATATAATAATAGTTAATTCACAAAACTGGCGGACCCAGTGGGTGGTCATTGGGTTTAGAAGGTTGCTTCTGTACTGCCCACATTAAAATTGTCCATGATGTTTGTATTGTTATGATCTTGTACATTACATCCCTCTACACATATAAAATACATAATCTCTATTTATAAACAGATATCTTAGATTCTTAAATGTATCCTTGTACCTTAAAGGAGGGTGGTCATCGTGCTGCGCATGTGTGACATTTGTCTTGATAAACATTGATTCTCCCACAATCCAATGCGCTCACCAGTATGAGGTGTGACTAGCACTAATTACGTGCGCGACTTGCATTAATTACTGTCGGTGACTCCTTCGACACCTTCTTATCACCTAAAAAATACCTAATTAAAGCTTGGTAACATCTCAGTTTGTACTCGTTGCTCTGCACAACTGTCAAAGTCACCATCTTTGTTTATATGAGACTCGTATATTTCACGCATGCGTGGCGCAACGACTACCACCGTTTAAATCTGTTCAGTCAATGCAAGCTTCAAATTTCTAATTCTTGGAGGCGGAGCTACGTCACGGTCGTTCTACATTGCTTAGACGCGCACCACTGTACCACGTATTTCTATGGGCTCTGTGCATGCTGCTGTAGAATATCAGTCAAAGAACCGATGAAAAAGATAAAGTCAAGGAAATAGCACAAACTAAACTTGAGCAACCAAATTTATATATGTTGTAGTAAACCTGTAGGGGTAATCTTTTAACTTTTTCAGGGCAGTCTCAACAACTATGCCAAAGTAGAGTTTTCTGAAAGTTTTTGACCTTTGTTTTCACCATGATGGTTGCCAGATTTTGTATTCTATTGTATTATGCAATATTATTGTATATGTGAGCATTGTTTATTTGTTTACACCAACAGGCATCGTGTACTCCACCATACAGTCACGGTACAAACCAGTAATTCTATATGTCTGAAGACAACAGCCAAACGAGGATGTGCAATAAATAAAGAGAGCAAGAGTTTGAATTCAGATGACAGTTTATTAGTATCTCTTGAAATTGAGAATATGAATCAGGTAAGGGATCAACCATTCTAATTCATGGGGGGGGGGAGTGGCAGAATAATTTGTTAACTATCACTCCCTTGATTTAAATAGTTGACCCCTAATATAATTAATCAATCAATCAATATATCAATACGAGTCCCTGTGCTGGATATATAAATGTTCTACATTTGATAACTGAAATTATATTTGAGCTTCGCATTCAAAGCGCACCACTGCCACCATATGTCAACTCATCATAACACTGAGCATATCAGGTTCTCAGTAGGAATTGATTGAACTTCTTGTCTGGAAAATACTCCCTTGCCTTTACAAATACATAAAACATAGCTTGTTTGACTATGTACGTTTTGATGATGCACTAACATGTGTTAGTGACCACCTCTGTATAATTGACCACCTTTGTGCAGTCCCAGTGCAATTTATGTGAAAAATGACCTGTATATATATAGTAACCAGGTGACAACCATTTTGGCACCAATCTGGTCAAATGGAAAAGGCCAAAATGATTATCAGTTGACCATTGAATTGAAAAATTAAGGTCATATGTTCATTATAAATTAATTAATCAACCTCCATACAGAGACCATCTATCTGTAAAGGACAAGTTTGTTCAGTACCTTTGGTGCATAAGTTTAACTACGTCTACATTTCTTGTGTTTCATTGTTTAGGTACATGATTCTACTATAACAGAGTTCAGTATAGAACAAGTATCATGTGCTAGTAAACAGTGGTCACTCTTACACCTTAGTACAGATCATGAATCAGGTAAGGACATTCTTCTGCTTAATTTGTATGTCATTATGTTAAACTTTTTGCCATCTACAAAGTATATAGGTAGCTGTGTTTGTCTGCAGTATTATGGATCCATTGCCTGTATTGAAATGGAAAAGTACGAAATAGTACATTTGTATTACCCGGTAGTTTGAATTAATTCTGAACAATATATTTTTTATCTAGATATTAAAATTAATCCCAGAGAGACATGTATTATGTGTTTAAAAGC